AAGTAAAGTAAAAAGAGAGAATTCACCAAAAAACAACTTTCCCTCGAGTCGTCCCAAACCCAAATTACTTTCTTTGTTCTAGGGAACACAAAAGATAAATTTTGAATAATATTCATTTTCCAGACAATAATAGTTTCTAGGTCATTAGAATTCATTATGAAATTGTCAAGCGTCAAACAGAAAATCTTAAAGGGGTCATATGATGCTGCTAAAAAGAACATTATTTTGTGTATTTGGTGTAATGAAATGTGTTTATGCGGTTTAAGGTTCAAAACACATTATTTTCCACATACTGTACATTATTGTTTCTCCTCTATGCCCCGCCTCCACAGCGCAAAGTTGTAGTATTTCCTCAGCGACCAGCACAGATCAGCTCCTGGCATGACGAAGCAGATATCGTCCTCTTTTGGAAGCCGAAACAAAGTAGTTTCGCTTTCACAATGAAGCACACAGAGTCTTTACGACATGGCAGCGGAAACAACAAAACTACAGCGAGAATAAAAGTTACGCCTTATTTCTTCGAGTGAACATTTGGGCGGCGTTATGCAAATCTTCCCACATAGCGACGTAGATATGTGGGGGCGTGTTAGAACGAGCCGTTTTAGGTAGGTGTGGCTGACTCTTAACTTTTATAAAGAATATCTCTTTGGATTTGAGACTTTAGTCTTTGCAACTTTACAGATCTTCTTTATGCACCAAGAGCTTGTAACACTCCAAAGAGAAAGGAAAAATTGAAATCGCATCATATGACCCCTTTAAGTGTGGCGACTCATTTTTTGGTTGTTTTTAAAGGTTGAAAGCTGCAGTCCCCTGGCATTCACTGTAACTGCATGGAAAAGAGCGGCCAGGACATTCTTCAAAGAGCGGCCAGGACATTCTTCAAAACATCTCCTTTTGTGCTCCACAGAAGAAAATAAAAAACAGGCAGGTTTGCAACGACATGAAGATGACTAAACGATAAAGTATCTGTAAATATTTGGTAAAAATGTTTGCGAGCACTGTAAAAACTGTTACTTAAGGTTTTAAATTACGTGAAAAAAATCTCTCGAACAAGTTCAAGAGCCTCATCATCCACATCAGGCTTCTCAGAGGCTCCTGAACCATCAGAAGGTGGTTTCAGATGGCAGTCTGGTTTTGAGCTGGTACTTTCTTCCACGCAGTTTCCATAAGGCACAGTCTCTTGCTCTGCCATGTTTGAAACATCCGAGTCTGACGTCTCTCCATCTGTCTCCGGAATGATCCTGACCTCCTCTGGGACTCGCATTGCATCTATAGCACATGCCTACGATTCATGAGAGAACTAACAATAAGTCTGTATCATGTGGCATAAATAACATTTTAAAAAGATGACAAGTGATTTATGATCATGGAAATCCATTTGCCTTTCATCCTTCAAAAGGCTGAGCGCTGTTTCCATGAGTTCCCGCTCGTTCATCCAATACGTGACGACGCTGAGAACGACATCATTGGGTATAAGCTTCTTTTTCATAAAAACAACCAATACTTATTAATAAATGCTAGCTCTTAACACACAGTCTCTAAGTTACCTTTCGAGTCGCTTCTTCACTATCCTTTTTGTAGTTTCACCACGCGTTTTCTTCTTCTCAGCTTCATTGTCTTTACTTCTTTGAATGTCAGATTTCACCATCCAGGGAGGAAGGTTTCTATGCTTTTCAGACATTATTATGTAGTTTAGGGTTTGTTTGATTTCGAATATTCCATAAAGAATATTCTTTTTAACCTCTTCAGTGAATGTTTTTCACATATTGAATGTAATATAATGCGCCATCTTGTGGTCTGAAGAACAACACGAAGAAGAGACCGGGGCTAGTTGTCACATTTCAGTCCAGTACATACTTTTAAAGTCTCAGCTTAAAATAAATCACAAATCATCACGATGAATAAATGCTCATACCCCGAGAACCAGACATGAGTATAATGAGAGCTATAAAATGAACTTTAGACCTTGTCAAGAGTTTATTTAACAGTATATCAGAATATCATACAGGTAAACAAGATTTTAGCAAAATTTATTATATCCGTACTGTTGCATTTCATAAAAATATTTGATCACTTAGTCTTTGAAACTATCAATTATACATTAAACCATATTTATAGGAGTACAGCTGTACAAGGTAAATACACATCTAACACTAGACAGTAATATTGATCTGAATGGGCCCCGGCATGTGCCATCTTTAACAGATTCAATATTTTCCTCAATAATATAAAATGTTTTTTTTTTCTTTGTCTTATTTTCACAGCAGGCAGGATACAGCTTCAAACAGTAAAAGCTATGAGCTGTGCAATAAATGCATCCACATTTTCCTTCACCGTTTCTCGCTGTCTGTCTCTCCATGTAAACAGCAGTTTAATCTAGCACACTGCACCCAATGATGGCAATCAATGGAGACTACAAATATTATGTGCTAGCTACAAAACCATCAGGGAGATATGAACAGGGAGCGTTTTATATATCTTGTTTCAACTGCAAAAAAAAAAAAAAACTTTTTATGAAACTTTATATAACTAGTTTTTCAGCAAAAATATCTAAACATCCTTAAAATAAGATACATTTACTTGATAATATAAATCGAATTGGGTTTATTCTTCTTACACCATCAGCAAACTGTTTTGTTTTCTTATTTAAAGCATACTTATGGTTTATGCTTAAAACAAGAAAAAGAAAAATTATTAAAGATACATGTTAAAAAAATTCTTCAGTTTCTTTCTTTAGGATTTCTCCGCCTCATTAAAAATTTCCATTCAATTGGATTTAAGAATCTCAAAATGGTGTAGATATTTTGAATTAGGAATGATTGTGAAAAAGTCAATTTATTTAAAATTAATAACTATAATAATAAGTATAAATAATTATAATTCTGTCAAAAATAAACGTTAATTTTAATATTTAATTAAAATATTTCAGTTTAACTAAGTTTTAAATAATACATTTTGGTAAATAACAAAGCAACTACATTTATTTAATTGTAAAATACTTAGAAATGTTTGGTGTATTGTCAAATCTATTTAATTGCTTTTCCCAAAAATGTACCTTGTTTTAAGAATGTTTCATTTTTACAGGAAAACAAGAAAAAAATACTGATTAAGACTTTTTTCTTGTCTTTTTTTTTTTTTTTTGAGGTGTTAAGAAGGAATGTGATAAGCTTGTACTGATATGCAACTTTTTCAATGCCGCTCCCGACGCAGTTTCAGGATATTCTGTGGTTCACAAAACCGCTCTGGAATTACATTCCACATACCTCAAGAACAATTGAATTGGCACAGTTATCAGCCTGTGATCAGAATGACAGGTGCAGAGCAGCATAAGACAATTTCACAATTAAATGAATACAAAAAGAGGCAAAACACTGCATGGCATCAAACCCTCCCGCCACACTGTGAGATTCAATCACTGTAAATGTTTCTGTTGATCACTATCACCGTATGAAACCCATTACACTGTCGCTTCCATCTAATGAAAAGGTCAGAATGACAGAGGTTCGGATAAAACATTGTTTGCCGTAACAAACACAAAACCTTGATATATTTTCTCCTACCGCTGTCCACATGTGCCAGATCAGAAGGTTTGATCTTTATACAGTTTTTACTAACGAAACATTTGCACAACATCAGAAAAAAATTGGCAATGTTTGTCACCATTGAATCAAAGTTGAAAACAAAAGCTCAGCTCTTAAGATACATCTATTTTTTTAATGTAAAATGCATATTTCATACTGCTCTTTGTCCTGCCAGTAAGGCACTCTGCCCCATACAACTGGGTCCCACCCATTCATGCTAGAGAGACCCTGATCATGCCCACATCATTTAAAAGCATCCTTTTTCCTCGTCTTTGCTCCCAGCTGAACCTTAACCGTGTCTTAACCAAGCGTGACGTGATGAAACAATAAAGCAAAGTGACCAGGATATAAAGTTCTGACTGATACTGATACGCCAATAATTGTTTTCATGTTATGGGCGATAACCGATAAATGGTCAATATTAAACTTCCATGCCATTTTTTCTAGATAAATGAGAATAAAACACTAAAAAAAAAATCATTTTAAATGCTACAAGTGAATTTGGGCATCAGAACATTATAATGTACAATATGAAAAATGTATATTCATTGTGAGACTTGCTAAAGATTACATTTAACAGTGTTATTAAATTTGAATTTTTAGAAGACTGCAAATGTCATCTAAATATAAAAACAGGGGAAATGAACATTTTAAATATCACAATTAAAATGCAAAATTTCATAACCAATATTTACCAACAGCAATATCGGCCGATACCCGATATACCAAAATATTACGCATCTTGTAACTATATAACGCAGTTATCGTATTGGTCCAAATCCCAAATTTCTTGTAGCCCCACCCACAGTTATCATATTGATTCGTACTGGTCTAAATCTCACATTTATCTGTATGTAGCCCCACCAATATTTATAGTATTGGTCCAAATCCCAAATTTATCTGCATGTTGCCCTGCCCATAGTTATCATATTGATCCAAATCCCAAATTTATCTGTATGTAGCCCCGCCCATATTTGTGACCCTGGACCACAAAACCAGTCATAAGGGTACATTTTTTGAAATCGAGATTTAACCATCATCTGAAAGCTGAACAAATAAGCTTTGCATTGATGTATGGTTTGTTAGGATAGGACAATATTTGGTCGAGATACAACTATCTGAAAATCTGGAATCTGAGGGTGCAAAAAAATCTAAATATTGAGAAAATCGCCTTTAAAGTTGTCCAAATTAAGTAATTAGCAGTGCATATTACTAATCAAAAATTAAGATTTGATATATTTACGGTAGGAAATTTGCTAAACATCTTCATGGAACATGATCTTTACTTAATATCCTAATGATTTTTGGCATAAAAGAAAAATCAATAATTTTGACCCATACAATGTATTGTTGGCTATTGCTACAAATATACCTGTGCTACTTATGACTGGTTTTGTGGTCCAGGGTCACATTTAGTATTGGTCCAAATCCCAAATTTATCTGTATGTAGCCCCGCCCACCATTGTCTTATTGGTCCAAAACCCACGTTGCTATGTATTACATATCAAATAAGTTCTGAGTGGATGTGATTTAGTTGCATCATGCAGCATTTTCACATTCGGAGCTAACAGGCAAATTATTTGTCATGTCGCACTTGGTTAGGACACGGTGAAGGACTACGTCTCCTGGTCTCAGACCAAACTGTCCTGAAAAACCATCTTTTTTTAAATTAGCTCCGCTAATTAGCTTTCTTGAACTACGGAGCCATCAGAGACATGGGAATGAAGCTTGTAAAGTGTAAGATGGCAACCCAAATCCACAGTGGTGGTGCACAGTACAGGGCCAATGACACACTGAGGCTTCGAAAAATATCCGCAGTCATTCTTCGGTTCAGTTCGCGATGTAACCGAACGTTTGGCTGGGTGTGGAATTCATTGACTAGACCATACTAATGTAACATATCATCTTGGGATCTAAAGGGATACGTCCATGCGGCAGATTTGGCGATTGATATGCATTTACCACTCATAATTCAGGCCGAATAGGTCGGCGTGATACTTACCCTTGTATCTCCGTCATGGCGGCCTCCCTTTATATTTACTGTCAGTGTTTCACAATGTCTATGGTGACTTTTTCCCATCAGGCATATAACGAAACGCAATACTGAAACGTTGAAGTTCTCAACTCAGAAGTTTGTGTGTTTCTTCAGAAATCTCTTTTCATGCTACACATATATTTGCGATATTTGACCCCCGGTATCATTAGGGGTTTGGTATGAACATCTTGAAATTATACAAAAAATAAACAACCTCTACATGATAAACAAATAAAGAGGGCTCGGGTCCACCGGACGGAAGAACGAGGCGTTGAAAGTTTGGCTCGTTCCCCTTCGAGAAGTTTCTGCTCTGGATCCAGAATTAAACAGCAAGAGGGCGAGCCACGCGTCTTTGGCTGCCGTTCATCTGAATCGTCCGGAAAAACAAAAATCAAACTTGGATCAGAGAATATATGAAAAGCAAGTTGGATGCGACAATCCATTTGAGGTTGATGTGTCTCCATCTGTTCTTAATAATTTGGACTTTTATGATCCATCTCCTCTGTTTTTTAGGCTGTTCAAAGCACAGCTCTTACAGGTGGACCTGCCACCCTTTGTTCTGCGGGCGAAGCCCCACAAAACTGACCACCAGGGGCGCTGTGATTGGTCCAGACTGTCACAGAATGCCACTGAATGTCCAGGGTTTGAGGCTGGATGAGATGACGGGTGACGGCGAAGGGCGAGTGTCACGCTAGCGGGGTGAGACTACTTCCGACAAGGCAGGGGCGGCTGGAGAGACAGCACTCCGGGAGGCGGCACTGTCTACCAGGAAACACAAAGAACCTGTGAATCACCCGTTACACCCGACTGCAAGGTTACTGCCAGTGGACACAACACAGTCATACAGTGTTGGGGAGCAATGAACTTTTTAGTAGCATTTTCAGTAACAAGTTATTTTAGGGTAAAAGGTAACATTATTCTACTCTTCCTCATCTGTTATTTCGGGAAGTCTGATTCATTTTAGTGAATCGGTTTATGTTAATGAACTATGAGTCACTTTGTGCTATTTTACATAGCAATGAATACAGTATTTCACAAAGTATTCCTTTTTTTTTTTTTTACTTACTAGATTTATATACATAAAATTAATATGAAAAAATATATACTTTCTATAATAAACATTTATAGAAATAATAAACACACACACGCACACACACACACACACACATAGGGATGCACCGATACCACTTTTTCCAGTACTCGCCCGATACCGATACTTTTATTTTTGGTACTTGCCGATACCGATGCCGATACCTATATTTTTATTACATTTGTAAATTTTTTAAATATTGGGTACAGAAACCAAAAGGGTATGTATAATGTTAGTTGATATATTTATAAATCCTAAACAAAGTTATAATTGTCTATATAAATATGCATAATTATAAGTATGTGTATCTATAAATGTAATCTAAACATTTAAAAATATGAATATATACTGGTCTAAATATATAGACACAAATCTATAAACACAAATCTTAATGTATAAATGTAGACAGTATTTCACAAATTATTTGACTGTTTTTTTACTTATTACTTTGTATGAACGTACATTGTATATATATATGTATTATACAATAATTTATGTATTATGCATTATACAAATTATATATATATAATTGATATTATATAAAAATATACTTGCTATAATAAAGTATATTTAAATAATAAACATATATGCATTTTGAGGGCCAAACAGGAAATAATTATATGAAGTAATTAAAATAATTAAAATAATCATATGGAATTTGATGATATATTTATAGATCCTAAATATAAAAGTAGAATTGTAAATCTGTAAATGTATATGTGAAAATAATTATATATACAATTATATGTATGTATATCTATAAATGTAAATCTGAACATTTCTACTTAAAGTCTCTCTCTCTAGAGAGAGATACAAGAAAAATAATTAAAAGAAATCTGAATATATATTTATAAAAATGTTTCAGTGCTTCTAGTTGTATTAACTGTAATTAATGTAAATTTATCTGTTCAAGTTTAATGCCCGCACCCGAATTCACCTTTGCTCATTTCCGCCCACATATATTTTAGCATATTTTTTGGATAATTTCCATAAAATTTCATTTAATACTCAACACACAGAGCCTCCAGACAATTTCATTAGAAAAGATCACAAATTTATGGCAACAATTGCTGAAGAATGATTGGTAATTTACCATTTTAACAGCGGGGCTTAGTGAAGCATCGATTGAGATCCTGCATTGCTTTCGTCAGGTAAATACTCTGGTCATTTCTAGTCATTTATTAAGAAAATTCAACGTAGTTAGCTACATTTTGTTAGTAACAGGTAGCTTGATTTTTGTTTTAACCACGTTACTGCTTCCATCAGTTTCAGTGTGGCTTCCCAACACTGTCATGAGCACATGCACACAGTGACACAAAACTACACACAAACACACTGTGCAACCAAACACAGTTAAAAGATACAGAGACATGCGACGTATGCTAGTGTGCCAATGCAAACGGAAACAAAAGCAGATAGAAAATCTACAGACATAAAAGAAATAAGCAGAGAGGCGTGCAGGATGCCACGAACCGTGTCTTTAGAGTGTCCCATTATGAAGAAATAGGGTGAGGCTAGAGTGTCGCTTTTCATGCACATGGTAAGGTTGGTAGGTACCATTCCTACAGGACAGGAAGTAAAAGACTGAACTATTGCATTGCAGATTAGAGTTAGAAAAAACAGAGCAGCTGATAGAGGAGAGGAGTTAAGAGAACACTAGTTACAGGCTACTAGACGTTTTGTCACTAATTGAGAGTTCACTGAAAGGTTTAATTGATATAGTGAGTCATCAAAGGCTTTTAAGCTTTTAACAGAAAGCTTTCAGTGCAAACAAACCGTCAAGACCACCATATCCCGGTTGAGCTATTGTTCCCCGGTGCACCCAATAAGCACATTTATGAGCATTCGCTCCCTTACTTCAACCCAAATCAGCAGGTTTTTAGTTTAAAAACACGATGATCAATTCTATGTTCATCTGAAAAGTTGCTAATGGCTGCAAAAACCTACATTTCTTTTAAACTGAACAACTTTTAAAAGATTCAAATGGTGTTTTTTGGCTTTGTGTGTTGCGGTACCCACCATATTCTGGCACCTGTCCCGTGCCTCTTTTCAACAGCAGACGTACTCGACGACCGCCAGCCTTGATGAGCTCGATGGCACGAGTGTGACTCATGTCTCTCGTACTCTCACCGTTAATTTCAATAATCTGATCTCCAACCTGCGAACATGAGGAATTAGGGGAATATTTTACATCAGGATGTCGTATCACCTTGAAGGCTTTCTATTTTATGATAATTGACCAATTAGAATCAAGTAATAAATACAAAGACACTATTCAAACGTTTGCTCACCATGGCTGCATTTATTTGATCAAAAATACAGAAAAAAAAACAGTAATATTGTGAAATATTATCATAATTCTATGTAACTCTTTTCTACTGTAATATATTTTAAAATGCAATTTATTACTGTGATGCAAAGCTGAATTTCCATCATCATTACTGCGGTCTTCAGTGTCACATGATCCTTCAGAAATTCTAATATGCTTCATTTTGAAAACAGTTGTGTTGCTTAATATTTCAGGATTCTTTAATGGAAAAAAAAAATCAGCCTTTATTTGAAACAGATTTGTATCATTATGTCTCTTTTTTGTTGTTTAACATGAATGACAGACAACAGGAATATTAGGCTGCTGTCACTTTAAGAGCTGCCCGGATTCAATATACTGTTACACATGTGTTTTCTTTCTCCGCTGTTTGCTTTCACTTAAGACCTAAATTACAAGGATACTTGCAGAGACGGCATTTTTACACATAATACACAAGTGTGTGTATTTAACCATTCAAGGCCTATAAAGCAGGAAAAATAACTCCCGTTTGAGCACCGTCTTCACGATGTACACGCCTCTGACAGCGCTCAGAAACAGTCTCTCAGACAGCATGCAGATATAGAAAAATGAGTTCTCTTTCGCTGCTGATTGCATTTCAGTGGCTTGAGATCACTTGTTTTTAAACGGCAATGCTTAAAAACGTGTGCAAATGTTAAGTTTTTGTGACCACATAGCACAACAATGTCACGTGAGCATGTAACCAATATAGAGACGATAGTCAAAAATCTCTATCGGCTGACACATTTCTACCAGTTAATCGTGTCTACCGGTATATCGCCCACCCCTATACTGACCCCAAACTTTTGAATCGTTGTACTGTATATGCTGCAAATCAAATGTACTTTCACATTAAAAAAAAGCATTTTTCAAAGGGTGAGACTTTCAAAATAGATTTGAACAGTTTGAGTGTGAGACTCTCATTTGTAAAAGTGCAATTCTAAAAAGGCTTTTCCATCTAACAGTCTGATGTTTTCTCACCCTCATTCTGCCGTTGCGGATCGCAGGTCCATCCTCAGCCAGTCTCAGCACAAACAGGTCCATCTTGTATTCCCGTCCTCCGCGGATACTAAAGCCAAATCCCTTCACACTTTTCTCCAGATCCACAGTGAAATAGTCATAGTCCTGGAAAAAGAAATACAAATTTAAATAAATAAAAACATTGAAGTGTGGCACGCCGCTTTTCAAGACAACCCCCACATTTGACTTTTATTTAGCTTTTATCTTCGATTTAAATGTACTATTAATATTTAATATTAATTTATATTCATGTACTTAACACCAAATATCACAAGAAAATGTATGCATTTTAATATGTTATTTATTTATTTACTTATTTATTTTTTAATTCAAAATACAAATACAAAGACAAATACAAATGTTCTATATTTTATATACAAAAACAAATTGTGCTATAACAGGTTGCACAGGAAAAACATGGCACTTGTAATGGTGATTTTATTGATTTTCCAGCTGCATTATTATACTGTAATTGTTTCATATTCTGGATGTCAAGTAATATTTTTGTGTAATAAAATGTGCAGTTAGACCTGTGGTCTGTAATCGGCGATGGAGTGCTGTCTGTAGTCTATGAGAGCAGGTGGGTGTCTGTACTCAATGGTGGGCGGCTGTCTGTAGTCTGCTACAGGAGGATGTCTGTAGTCCACCGGAGGCTGTCTGTAGTCTGTATATGCAGCTTGGCAGATATCTGGTTTAACATCCTGCCTGGCTTTTACCTCCGACCTGTAGGCATCAACAAGGCCAAATCAAGCAATCCTGTCCCACAAGTCAACAGGCTGATAAACTTCATCTACACATTTCCCACAAACTTCAAGTTTAAACCACCTAAACTCTCTGTGAATGTTGGTTTAAATACTATTACGTCTAATACACAATAAAAACAACACATGCAGTTTGCTTAATGTCTAACAGTGACCTTTTATTCCCCTCTCTGACCATGTGACCAGGGTTTTGCTCATTGGCCATATTTATCAAGTCTCAGTTCCCATCTTTCACGATGCATAAATCAGAGCAGTCTTGAGCCAACCCTGGGAAAAAAATGTGCAAACCCTGCCTGAGAGGAGAAGCATGTATTATTGAGGAGGTAAATAATTCATCATGAAGTGTTAAGTGATGTTACTCGGGCTAGTGTGAGAGAAAGACAGCAGACGCTCGAAGCATGATGTGAGACTGCCCAAGGCAGTTTGGTTGAGCCCAAATTTCAAGTCAAAAGGAAAAATCTAAAATTATATATTTCAATTTATTTTAGTATTTTTAATTTAAAATAATTTTAATTAATTAAAATACTTGATTAATTTATAATATATATTTCATATAAAACTTGTTTTTTTTTGTATCAGTGGAAAAGGATTGTAAATGTAAACAAAACATTAATGACAATTAAGTAAGATTTCTCAAAAAAAAAAAAAATCATTACCATAATGAAAAACAAAATTCGATATTATTTGATTTGTAAACTACATATACCTCATGACAGTATGCTTACTTTATTTTTTTAATCAATGTATTGCAGTAATTTTTATTGTAATACATGATAATTTTTTTAAGTAGAGCTAATATTTTCAAAATTACAAAAAAACTAAATACAGTAATGATTATTTTGGGTAAAATGTGCTTAATGGTCATATAAAAAATAATGCTACAATCCATAAAACGCAATATGAATATAAAGTGCTTAATTGTAATAAAAATAATGTCATGCAAAAATGACAATGAACAATAGAACGATAGATAGATAGATAGATAGATAGATAGATACACTGAACAAAATTATAAACGCAACACTTTTGTTTTTGCCCCCATTTTTCATGAGCTGAATGCAAAGATCTAAGACTTTTTCTATGTACACAAAAGGCCTATTTCTCTCAAATATTTATCACAAACAAAGTGGATGGATTATCTCGGCAAAGGAGAAGTGCTGACTAACACAGATTTAGACAGATTTGTGAACAATATTTGAGAGAAATAGGCCTTTTGTGTACATAGAAAAAGTCTTAGATCTTTGAGTTCAGCTCATGAAAAATGGGGGCAAAAACAAGTGTTGCGTTTATAATTTTGTTCAGTGTAGATAGATAGATAGATAGATAGATAACAGAATGACAGAACGATAGATAGAACGATAGATAGATAGATAGATCGATAGATAGAACGATAGAATGAACGATATAGAACGATAGAACGAACGAACGAACGATCGATAGATAGATAGATAGAGAACGAACGAACGAACGAACGATAGATAGATAGATAGAACGAACGATAGATAGATAGATAGAACGATAGAACAATACATAGATAGATAGATAGAACGATAGAACAATAGATAGATAGATAGATAGATAGATAGAACAACAGATAGATAGAATGATAGAATGATAGAACGAACGAACGAACGAACGAACGATCGATCGATCGATAGATAGATAGATAGATAGATAGATAGATAGATAGATAGATAGATCGATTGACTGATTTCCAGGCAAACAGTACCTGGTGTCATGAAGGTACAGCTGTGGTGGGACTGGCACTGATCCGACGGAGGTGGGCTGAACTCCCGGTATGCCCGGATCCACAACAGGAGCAGCCTGAGTCACAGCTGAGCCCGACTGCATGGCCTCCAGGCCGGCCTGACTCACAGGCAGACTGCTTTGAGTCACTGGTGGGCTGCTGTGCGGAGCTCCAAGGCCCAGCTCCATCAGCAGGGGGCTGGGCTGCGTGGTGGCCGGGCTGGGGTGGGGGGCTGGTGGGCTGGGATGAGCCATGGTCGGGCTCTGCTGGGCTGCTGGGCTGGACTGAGTCTGAGGGCTGTGCTTCTGGGCCACCATGGGACTCTGCTTCTCTGATGTAGGGGCCGAATGAGCACCGTTTACGTCTAGGGCAAAAAACGTTTGTGTTTACAAAGGAAGAAGACAGAAATCTTTCTTTGTTGCAACATATTCTGATCATACCTTCTTCAGGGATGATGTGCAAGGTGACAGTGAGTCCAGCGTCTTTGATCAGCTTGACAATGTCAGCGTGAGGCATGTTGATGATAGACTGACAGTTGACAGCCATAATACGATCACCAACTTTCAGCTTCCCACAGCGATCAGCCGGACTGCCCTCGATGATGCGGCCGATCTTATGTGGCACAGCTACAAAACATATCAATGTAACTAATGTGAGAATTTCATGTCAAATATTTTGGTCATATTGTAGTTTTTAAAAAAGATATAATAAGAAATGTAATATGTCCTTCCAATATAAAAGGAACATAAAAATTTAAATAATATTTAACAAATAATATTTTTTATATTTATAAAAATATAAAGTCTGTTTTAGTACTGTAAATAATTTTTTACATTGTGATATTTTCATCACAACTGAGCATGATTTCCATTTGAATTCTCATTATTGTAATACATTTTACTTTTGTAATCCCCCCCAATAATTACTACAAATATAATATAATAATAAAAATAATAACAATAAATTAATATAAGGTAAACATTTTTTATTAACATTGTTATCATACATTTATTTGATGTTAATAATTTATTTACATTACTATTATAAATATTCTCAATAGTAATCTTAATTGTACTAAAATAGGTTGCATTTGTTATAATACATATTTTATTATTTTATATTTATACTTATAATTTATATAAATTACTATTATAAATATTCTCAATAGTAATATTAATGGTATTAAAATAGGCTTCATTTTTGTTGTAATAAAGACAAAAACATTTATCATTAATGTAACCATAATAAAAAATATATATATGTATAATGTATATGCTATTAAAATATTCTCAATTATTAATCTCAGTGGTACTAAAATAGGCTTCATTACTATATAATAATAAATACTATAATAATAGTATTTGAAAAATATTTATTTGTAAATTATATAAATTACTATAATAAGTATTCCCAATACTAATCTCTAATGGTACTGCAATAGGTTATATGCACACAAAAAAAAACTTTTTTGTAAATTTTGGGCTGAGATAGGTGTAAAATAGATTTGTTTGTTTGTTTATTGATATTTATTCATTTATTTTTACAGGTTTTGTGAGATTTACCCAAATGTGGATAAGATAAATCTTTAACTTTGTGGACTGTGTTCTTGGACACATAATGGGCATAATCTGCACTACAAACTGAACTTTACTCTAAGATAATAAAGAGTCTATCTTAATAAACATGTCACCATGTGTAAAAGAACGCATTAGCGTTCACCAGAGCATCAGATAAACAGCTGTGAAAGGAGGACTTACTTATTGTGTTCGTGGTCTCTGGACGGTTGAGGGAGCTGATGATGACAAAGCCAAAGCCTTCGCTTTCCTTACGATGGATAACTACATCAGTGGTGGGGGGCAAGTTGACCGGGCACACGGCATGACCCCGGGGAGAACTGCTCTGATTGGCCGCTGCGCCGTTTTCCTCACAAGGGTGGCCTGCAGGTGGCAGCAAACACAATGTCAGTCGATGCAAACACATAACCACAGCAGTGTGACTCCAGAGATGATTGCCACCAATTACTGCGCTTTTACTTCTTGATAATGTAATTCCAGGCATTTGAAATAATAGTCAGAAAAATCTGTTGTTGTTTTTTTATGGAGCATTTTTTTAAACCTTTTTTTTATTATTATTTCAAAAAGCCTGCATATGTGTTTCATGTTTTGTATGATATTTAATACATCAGGCTTTAATAGTGGAGGAAAAAACACCTCAGTTTTATTCAGAGGCCCAGATTGAACGAAAATATTGCTGATATTTATATGGCCAAAAGTAAGATGAAATTCTGATCGTTTTTAATGTAAATACATTTTTTAACAGTATAGGCTACATAAAAATGCATATAAATATCTCCAAAAAATGTCTTAGTAGATATTTAAATGTTTAGTTTTGCATATAATGCAATGCAATACGAGATGAGCAAATAAACATCCCTCAAATGTCTGATATATCATATTTGACACATGATTTTTCTAAAAACAATTGTGGAACAATGATAATCAAGTAAACCTGAATTGCTTAAGTTGAGTAAATGTTCATCTTGAAATATTAATGACAACATGAAAGTACTTTTTAAAAATCAGTAAAGATTTCACAGCAAGAAAACACAAGTACCAAGATCTGAAGGTGGACATTTTTACAATTCCACTAAAAGGCCTTTTACTTGCAACAAAAGTAAATCAGACGAGATTTTATCATATTGATCATTTTCATATGAAATATGATACAGTAGGCTTTATAGGGTTAAAGAAACTAAAAAAACAATTGCTTGTTACTCCTCCTAAATACCGATATTATGGAATGAGCTGTTTTCTAAACCCTGACAGTGCAGTAAGTGACTAGTTTTGAGGATCAAATTGTTGCTTTAGTTGGTTTGCTGTCAATGGAAGCTTTTTTGAGGAGAGTTTTGCTCACCCTGCTGCGGCAGAACTCTCCTCCTGACGGTCAGGGTGACCTGTCCGCTTCGTGCTGCCGCGTGCATGAGGTCGATGACGTAGTGGTGTGGTCTCCCCGCCACGGGCATCCTGTCAACCGAGACTAGCTCATCTCCCGGACGCAGTCTGCCGTCGCGCTCCGCAGGGCTGTTCTCTATGATTGCTCCGATCACAATCTGTGAAGAAACATCAGTCATCATGTTAATGTGAACATATATGCACAGTCTCATAATAATATTGTCACCGCTTTTACATGTTCAAACGGCAATATTCTTGACAAGCTGATGGGATTATACATATCTAGCCTGATAGAAAGTTGCTCTCAACTGCTGGTATTTATTAAAAAAATGTAATGAAATTACCAAAGACTACTAGCTAAAGACGACTGTAAATAAACTGTCATTTGAAATCCAAGAAAATCCATGGCAATTCAGTTTGGAGGCTTTTAAAATCCACAACTCTGCACAAAATCTGTCAAATTAAGCAGGTATTTATGGTATCAGATCATATTTGATAGTCTATTTAATATATACAGTAGCATGGTACGGATCAAGGTTAGTGTTATTGTTAACCATAACTATTATGAAGAAGAAAATAAGCAGTAAAAAAAAAATGTGTTAACTAAAACACAAATAAAAAATGAAGTGCAAAAGAATAAAACAAGGTTCTAAAATCCAAGGAAAAATAATTTTATCTGGAATTGTACATATTTGAATTATTTCTCAACCCTGACTTCAGACTAGCAATGTATTCAGTCAAATAAATCAATAAAAATTAATAAAATTTCTATTTAATATATACAGTAGCATGGTAAGTGCAAAAGAATAAAACAAGGTTCTAAAATCCAAGGAAAAATAATTTTATCTGGAATTGTACATATTTGAATTATTTCTCAACCCTGACTTCAGACTAGCAATGTATTCAGTCAAATAAATCAATAAAAATTAATAAAATTAATAAATATACAACAACAGCAATCCAATAAAAAAGCAGCTGTTTGATTGACATGTAAAACAACCAAACACAGTGTTGTGTGTCTCATTACAGGCAGATGGAACGAAAGGGATGAAAACTACACTGAACTGAAATAAAACTAAAATGCGAATGAAATTTAAAAAATAAATAAATAAAGGAAAATTCAATAGAAAACATTTGAAAAAAACAAAACAAAAACAGAATAAACAATTTGGACTGGGCATTATAATAAAAATATCACAGTATAAGTAATTTTAATTTTATTGAAATGTCTCATAATATAGTTAATTTTGCTGTCAATTTAACCCCACAAATTATATATATATATATATATATATATATATATACACACACATATATGTGTGTGTGTGTGTGTGTATATATATCATGTAGTATATACATAATCATGTAGTAAAGTGTATACTTTAAAAGTATTTTTTTTTCTTTTGAAGCTTCATGGACACAAATTTATCTCATAAAATAATGTACTCAGACACATCATAAGTCTGACATATTATCAGCAAAAACAGCCTGCACTAATGGGGTCAGTAAGATTTTATTATTATTATTTATTTATATATTAATAAAAACCATACTTTTTATTCACAATATGTTTTCACAAAAACATAAGCATAATCTAATTATTTACTGGAGTAATGATGCTGAAAATTCAGCTTTGCATCACAGAAATAAATTACATTATAAAATGTGTTAAAACATTAAATATTAGTTGTTTTAAATTCTAATAATGTTGGTCAATATTACTTTTCACTGTGTTTTGATCAAATAAATGTAGCTTTGGTAATCATAAGAAACTTATTTCAAAAACATAAAAAAATCTTACTGATCACAAACTTTTAAACGGCAGTCTGTGTCACTCATCATCATAAATCCCAGCTCTAATAATCACTACCTACATTTTCAAAACTATAATAACCACTACACTCATATACCATATTACCACGGTACATGCCCAAAACAAAACAAAAAACATGGTTTTGCTATGGTAATGTTGTACAAGTAGCTGAAAAAAATTTATTTTATGAGATAGTAGCTCATGGAGCTGTACAGATATGAACCAGTATCTGTTTATCCTGCCCCATACGAGCCTTGTCACGGGCCTCCGGACTCACAGCCTGCACCGCCTCGTCTCCACCTAGGATCCTAAAGCCGAAGCCGGTCTTCTCACGCAGCAGGTGCACTTCCACTTCCTGATACTCCACACCTGAGGAACAAGATTCACAGTTTAGATCACACGCACCAAACTCAAGAGTGATTTAAACCATGCTGCTTCCTTGGATAGGGATATTTAACCACCCAACAACCACACAGCAACACATTCAAATCCACTCGAAGATCCTATAAAATGTAAGAACTGATCATGTTTGACATGAAAGCAAAGAGCAGAACTTCTTCAAACCGTTCCTAAACCTGAACACAAGCCGAAGGATCAGAGAACGCCACACGTTATTTAGGTCACCTCACAAACTGGAGTGCTGAACCTTCTGATGTAGTGGAGAATGAGAGTATAGTGGTAGACAGAGAGCTAAATATAGAGCACTGAAGTCACATGGGTTACATAAATTAGCTATTGAAATGTGACTAACAGCACATGTGCTCTGTGACATAAAGAAAGGGAAAGCAGCACATTCCTCTACTTGCCTGTAGTAGGGGTCGACCGATATGTGTTTTTCAAGGCCGATGCCGATACCGATTATTACAGATCAAGTAGACCGATAACCGATATTTTGAACCGATATATATGTCTGGTGTAAAAATGAAAATTAATGTCAAAATTAAGAATAACAAGGGCTCTGACAAAAACTGCCTTCCCTGGTGTTGGTTGAGTGTAGTACTCCCACAGTAAACTCTTTATTTTAAAGAGTTAAACTCTTTATTTTTTGGCAAACAAAAGGTTTACCATTAAAATTAAAACATGGAAGAAATAGCGTATTGTGTGATTATTCTTTTAAACAAAAGTTGTAATAATTGTTGTAGTAGTCAGGGGTTAAAGCAAAAAAAATAATCTTTTGACTGAAAATTTTTCCTCTGCCAAACCCCATTCCTCAGCCATACTGGTCACACACCCAGTTTAAGAGCAGTGTTTTTCTTCTTGTAATCAAGAGCGCTTGTCCTCCTAATTTAAAAAAATTAAGGAGCACCTTCTGATCAACAATCAAAAATTCTGATAAAAAATTAGCCTTCCTAGTTCCGTCATCTGTCATCGCGTTATAAGCGCGGAACCTGCGGGAATGAGTATAATTATTATTAATAGCCGCAATCCTGCGCCTGAAATTCAAGTCCTGCTCTGTGTTCTCTGCTAATAACCCGACTGTGAATGATGCGAACAGCGTTATGTTGTCAGTGAGAAGCTGCAGCCGTGGCTGGTGTTCTGACAAATAATGCTACCTATCAGATTATGCTACCAACAAATCGTCAGAACACCGGCAGAACAACAACAATGTGCTACATGTTTCTTTTCCCCTCATTTTTTCCAATTGACGGAAATCCGTCGTAGCGACGGAAAACTTTCATCCCTGAGTAGTATCGGGTTGCCATGAGGAACTTGTTTCTGTAGGTTTATGTAAATGATATGAAGATAGTTTTACTCCAATGAAACTGTCAAATGCTCATGAAGTGACTCTTAGAGGGAGTCAGAGAAGTTCTGGAGATGTTGTTCATGTATTTATGTCCTCATGTAGTGAGATGACAGAAGCTGAAATCAGCGCGAGCGTCGCACACTCATAGATAATATTGAGGTGTTTTGCAACTTCAGTGCAACGTTAGTGGATTGGGATCTATTGCAACTTAAGCAACGTCTGCTGCTGCCTTACCTTTGAGAGACAACTGATGCGTGATCACTGAAGCAGCTCCAGTTAGCAAGCGCTTTTGGAGTGTGAGTGAATTCCGCATTGATTGGTCGGACTCGTGACTACCAACAAATCAGATGGGCGGTGGGCGGAGACTGCTTTAGGCCACAGAGTGGTGAGTTCTGACAGGCTGCATCAGAGCCAAATAGTGCGTTTCAAAATTAAGTCATTTTATCGGCGAATCGGTTTTGAAAATGACCGATACCGATAATCATAAAAATGCTTAATATCGGCGCCGATAATCGGCCAGGCCGATAATCGGTCGACCCCTAGCCTGTAGAGTCTGTCAGTGTCCGAGGAGGGACTGGCTCTGTGTGAATGAGAAATGAGAGCTTCAAACAATGAAATTATTTTAAAATACTTTGTACTGTCAACTGGCTTTATGCTTTATTTATGCTCATATGTGGAGGAGTTACAAGAAACCTGTCAAGAATTTTAGAGGCTCATATTTCACCTCAAATTGAAAAGAAATAAATTATTATATGAATTTTTGTTGGATTGAAGAAAATGAGGCATATTTTTTTCTGGTTGTGACATTATTTTCATGAAAATAAAGCACATTTTGCTTTCCAATTGGCATTAATACAATTTGAAAAAATATTATTTAAACTGTGTTACAATATATTTATATATTTATTCACTGTTTATTTCGTTCTTTCTTTATTTCCATGACTTTTCCATGACCAGTCTAGTTGTTGTTTGTGATAATTGGATTACTTTTGTAAAAAATTATTTTATTCAGACCATTTCGCTAAAGACTCACTTTGTGAAACTGTTGTGACTCTGTATGGCTTGTGAGCAAATGTAATTTACACCAGAGCACTTTCCAGCTGATGAAATAAAAAAAAGTATACTCATTACACAATATTTAATATCAAACCAAGATTTTTTAAATGATTTTTAAGATAAAGATTTAAGATGATTCATTTCACCAGTTTCCGGGACCCTCATTTATCAAGAGTGCGTAGAAAAGGTTCTATATTTTGTCCTACGAATGAAATTTAGAATGTGTGTAAGTACAAAAAAATCTGTATTTATCAAACGTGTGCACGAGGTTCTTACGCACACCAGTAAGTAATCATTAGTTGATAAATCCCACATGTTCTTAAGTATCATTCTTGTTCACGTTCATGGTCATTTGCATTCAGAAACGCCTCCAATGAACCATTTATGGTGACAGCACCTCCCTTTATTATCACGTGAATGTATACGTCCTCACCGAAGTCATGGCAAAGAAAGCGGTACCGACTGAGAAGCCATTCTGTGCTCTCATTAAACAGATCAGCGCGCTCTTTGAAAACACATTCTCTGCGCAGCGCATGGTTTGCCAAATCTTCCAGCAAAGCGAGATCAGCCATGTCCATATAGCTACATTTCAAATCGACTTCCCAACTGTCTTTTATAGCTTTCACACTAATTGTGCAAATGTTTAGCTTGAAATATGAAATTATTAATTGAGTATTTGCAATTAAAGGACACAGGACACATGCGGCGGCACTTTCTTTTTGTAGTATCGCCATTCTACCACTAGATTTTCTGTGTAAGCATGCTCAGAGTTGTGCTTACATTTACACACATTCCTACGTAACAAGTACAAGTTGGTAGATCCCACACTTTGCGTGAAACTGTTCTTACGCACTCATTGCGCACACATCTGTGCGTACGCACTGTTGATAAA